ATAAATCTGAAAACAAGCATGTATATTTGGATAATACACACGAAAATGCCCTGGACAGGCAAAGTGTGAATAATAAAATTGAAAATATTATTAATCATCATTATGAACTGCATTTAAAAAGAAACCCAACGATCTTATGAATTGTCTCGTATGCTGTTAAAACTTAGAATGTATCTGATTTCTTTTACACTATTTACATTATTTGGACTATTGTCCTCATCGTTTTCGCCATATTTATTACAACGTTTCGGCTGCTTTACGCACCGGCTTTCTTCTGGTGGTTGGAATGTCGAACTGAACCCTTTATTTCGCTCACTGGGGTAGACTGTTCTAGTTCCACGTACCATGTTTATCCACTTTGTCCACTGTGTCATGTGACCTCAAGAACACATGGTCCAGTGGATAAAGGCGTTGGTTAGATCCAGTGACAGAACCCAAAGAGTGTGAGTTCAATACCCGATTAAGGCAGTGGAGAACTTGGAGAGGGGAATTAACAGGAGATAACTGATAACTGACATCCATTAAACATGGCACGTGGAACTAGAACAGTCTATGCCAGCGAGCGAAATAAAGGGTTCCCTTCGACATTCCAACCACCTGAAGAAGGCCGGAGCGTACAACGGCCGAAACGTTGTAATAAATATGGCAACAAAGATGAGGACAATAGTCTGAAAAATGTCAATAGTGTACATAATACCTCATCTCAGAAATATAGACAGATACAGAAAGTCCGAAACTTTGTAATAAATATGGCAACAAAGATGAGGACAATAGTCCGAATAATGTAAATAATGTACATAATACTTCATCTCAGAAATATAGACAGATACTGAAAGGCCGAAACGTTGTAATAAATATGTCGACGAAGATGAGTACAATAGTTCGAATAATGTAAATAATGTACATAATACTTCATCTCAGAAATATAGACAGATGAAGATACTGAAAGCCGAAACGTTGTAATAAATATGGCGACAAAGATGAGGACAATAGTCCGAATAATGTAAATAATGTACATAATACTTCATCTCAGAAATATAGACAGATACTGAAAGGCCGAAACGTTGTAATAAATATGGCGACGAAGATGAGGACAATAGTCGAAATAATGTAAATAATGTACATAATACCTCATCTCAGAAATATAGACAGATACTGATTTCTTTTGTTGTGTCGACAACTGTAGTTTATACATATATAATGAGTGCGTGTTCGAGTGGTTAAAATGTTCGGTTTCTGAAGCCTGATATCCTGTTAGATTTGTCAGGCAGCTGACTTCTTGATGTCATTGGCCCGGGGAAGCGATCGCAGCGTGTGGCACTGGTGGAAAGTGCCTGGAAACCACTCCGCGGATGGACCCAAGTCTTGCGAGTGATGTTAGGTAGACAGATTTCTTCGTCGATGGTTGTACTAGCACGAAGTCAAAAGTCACGTCGTTACCGAGAGTTTAGCTTATTGACCTTGTACAGACATTTGATTCGCGCAGAACAGTTGTAGTATAAACGCACAGAGATGCCCTATAGGCATTGAACAAACATAAATGTCCCTGCGCAAACCTCTGTAACAGGGATTGGTTGGTCGTACTAGCAGATAGACATACTCTGAAATGAGCGACCATTATTATTATTATTATTATTATTATTATTATTTTTATTATTATTATTATCTCTTCTTGCGCGCCCATTTTTCATTTTTAACCGGAGATTTTTCATTGTAAGGTTGTCAAGTTGCGCGACCTCAAAACGATATTACCTTCCGCTGAATATTTGCAGAGCCAAGCAATTTGGTGAATTTTATTTCATTAAGAATATAGGATAATTAAACACATTCATAAATCATAGGTAGAAAATATGGCGCGCCAGCCAGCCGAAGTGGCAGCCGTATTGTAGAAAACAGACGATCTTTCTAACAACTAATCACGGCAGATTACCGAATGAAACAAACTTCGAACGAATGCGTTTTTTATGTCTGAGTTCCTAGGATGAAGAATTACCATTATTTAAATTATTTTTCACTTGCCCTTTTGTCCTGATCGTTGTCGCTATTACCACGTTTCGACTACTGAGCCGTTTGGCTTTCATCAGGTGATAGTTTATCCTTGAGGGAATTTCGAGATGAACCCTTTATTTAATATGCGGGACTAGTTTCTTTCTCGTTCCGTTGTCCATATCGAGTTATAGCTGTTTTGTTGTTTGGAAGGACAATAGTATAGTTGTTTAAAGCGTTCGATCGTGAATTTAGTGAAATGGTAATCGTAGGTTCAATCCTTGGAACGGGTAGTGTATATTCGGACCCAGTGGAAATAGGGAGAGCAATAACTGAGTAATACTATATAATAAAAGGAGATATCTCTAAAGATGGCCATATCTACATACGGCTAGGTGCTTGCTTAAACGAACACCACATCCCTCATTTTCTCACGATATTGCTATTTGGTTAAGAGTAGGTTTAGCGTCGTTTGGTATAGCTGACAATTTGTATTCGAGGATACCCGTCTACTAGGGTGGCTATCCAATCCCTATTACAGACGCTTGCTCAGGCGCATTTGCGTTTATTTACTCAACACCCACTGAACCCACCAGTAGTTCATACTACAACTATGCTGAGCAGACCTTAGTTACAGTTTCTGGGAGATAGCGTGTTATCTATCGTGATCAACAATTTGAACAAAGCCAGCACGCTCAAGCTCTCAGCCACGATGACTTGTGACTCCGTGCTAGCACAGCTATCGACGGCTTCCAAGGGTTCCGTCTATCCAGTTTCACTCACAAAGCTTGGGCCAACCCGTAGTATTGTTTTCAGGCACTTCCCAAAGGTGCCGCACGCTGGGATCAACCCCCGCCAGACTGATAGCATCAAGAAGTCATCTTCCTGACAAATCGACTATTGTGAGATTCGAACCCGTTACTCATGCTCAGAATACAGACGTTATAACGACTCGGCCATTTTAAGAAAATACCATTTTCCTTCAGGAAGTAAAAGATTATGACGTTCTACAGATTGTTTTTGCTTTATTTTCTTGAACTTGCCACACTAACTTAGGAAAGTGATTTTCCAAGCGTAGCTCAGATTTGCCACACGGCCGAAAAATATGGAGCACCCAGTGAGGATCGAACTCACTACTCAGTCGTAATTGTTGTAGCGAGACAAGCTTGTTAACCATTACACCGCCTCGTGGTGCCCCAAAGCGATTTTCTAAGCGCTGGTTAGATGTGGCACAAGGCCGAAAGTATGGAGCAGCCAGTGAGGATCGAACTCACTACTCAGTCGTAATTGTTGTAGCGAGACAAGCTTGTTAACCATTACACCGCCGCGTGGTCCACCAAAGCGATTTTCTAAGCGCTGTTTAGATGAGGCACAAGGTCGAAAGTATGGAGCAGCCAGTGAGGATCGAACTCACTACTCAGTCGTAATTGTTGTAGCGGGACAAGCTTGTTAACCATTACACCGCCTCGTGGTGCCCCAAAGCGATTTTCTAAGCGTAGCTTAGATGAGGCACAAGGTTGAAAGTATGGAGCACCCAGTGAGGATCGAAATCACTACTCAGTCGTAATTGTTGTAGCAAAGACAAGCTTGATAACCATATTAGAAAATATAGTGAAGAGGTTTCCCGCTGCAGCCTTCGTGGTCTGAAATTCACTTTTTCTTCTTTAAGCTTGAGTACCCTGCTTCCTTTATCCCTTTTCAATTTCTTTATACCGTGTCCTTTCAAGATGGCCGTTTACGTCAATTAGTGTACATACTCTTGGGACAGATAGAGGGCAGGAGTGACAGAGAAAAACAACGAATAACATCCTTAATCAGCTTGACAAAGACTTACTAAAATCTACAAAGGACAGGAAAGCCATTATCGCCAACGCCCTGAGGAGACACAACACAGAAGAAGAATAATGAACTCCAGTAAATGGATGTCGGGACAGGGCTTAGGAGAAATAACAAAAAAGACAAAATTTATGAGGAGCTACAAAGGACAGGAAATTGTGGAGAGCCATGATCGCCAACGTCCTGAAGGGACACGGCACATAGAAGAAGAATAATGAGATTGAGTAAATGGATGTCGGGACAGGGCTTAGGAGAAATAACAAAAAAGACAAAATTTATGAGGAGCTACAAAGGACAGGAAATAGTGGAGAGCCATGATCGCCAACGTCCTGAAGGGACACGGCACATAGAAGAAGAATAATGAACTTGAGTAAATGGATGTCGGAACAGGGCTTAGGAGAAATTACAAAAAAAGACAAAATTTATTAAGAACTACAAAGGATAGGAAATTGTGGAGAGCCACAATCGCCAACGTCCTGAAGGGACACGGCACATAGAAGAAGAATAATGAGATTGAGTAAATGGATGTCGGAACAGGGCTTAGGAGAGAAAAAAAAACAAACAAAATTTAGTAAGATCTGCAAAGGACAGGAAATTGTGGAGAGCCATGATCGCCAACGCCCTGAAGAAGATTAATGAGCGGAAAAGGGCTTAGGATAAGTCACAAAAAAGACAAAATTTAGTAACGGGCATGAAAATAATTCTTCTCCAACAAGGACTCGGGGACGCTTTTGAACTCTTATCGAGACTGGAAAGTGAGGTCTGGGCAGCTCCCGCCTAAATATGGAAACGGTACCCTATTTCCAGTCTGATCTGCCTCTTATAAAGATAGAGGTTAGCATGAGGAGTCAGGTACTTAACAGAGAGCCGATCATTTTACCTGCATCTTTAGCGATGGATCCTATATAAGAATTCCATTTGAGGTCGGGTGTGAATTTGAGGCCCAGTATCCTCTCAAGTTACGGGGCCTCCTCGTGAAGACATTCGTTCATCGTGACTGGCGGTCGTTCGGGACGCAACATGCTTGGTCGGAATTTGAACTCAACTCGCAGAGTCTATAGCCCGCGCGAATAGACACTACACTCACAGCACATCCCAAGCCGTACGTGTTACGGCCTTTATTTTCGTTTTATGTGACGTTTACTTTATTAGATGCTATTCTCCGTCTATTCAGTTTCTCAATACGAAGTGCGTATCGTATGAATGTTTTTATTTAGCCATAACCGAAGATGCTGATTGAATAAGAGCGACTCTTCAGAAGCATCGCTAAGAGCTCTCCAGTTAAATGGGGAAGCGTTTGCCATATCAATTTCCCAAGAGACACTACGCACGTAGGCAGGCTGAAAAGAGTCGAAGTAAATTCCATATAAATCGACGAACGGTTTGCGTGGAAGCCTAAGAGAGAGAAAGAAAGAAAGAGAAAGAGAGAGAGAGAGAGAGAGAAAGAGAGAGAGAGAAAGAGAGAGAGAGAGAGAGAGTTTAATAATAATATTTGGCGACAGATCGTGTGTACAACCAAGAACTTTTACACGCGAAAACGATTCTCGAATTGCCAAGCTTCTTGTGAAAGAAGGACTAGACAATGAGAGGTGTTTACAAGTTAGCGTTTATCTATCGATGATAACATTTCGCTTCTTAATCTTTTTGTTATAAAAATCAATAATAAGAATGTATTGATTAAGACAAAAAGACAATAATAACATTGATTAAAACTGGCAAGAATATAACAGTAATGTGTGAAACCAATGTTTTCATACGAAGTGACAATGATGCGTTTGTTTCAGAATGTATTGACCTGCGATAAAATGCAACACGAATAAGATGTAATAAAACTAGTAATATAATATTAACAATAAGGATAGATTTTTTTTACGGTTTATCAACCCTTTAAAGGGTATTTAAATCTATTGTAAGAATTTTTGGAGACAATAATGATTTACTGATACAAATCCTACTAATTAATTAATCCTACTAATTAATTAATTAATCCTACTAATTAACCTATAGTTTGGGAGAAGAAGATCTGATTCATACCTTTCCCAAGGATATTTGCATATAAAAGAATATAACGAACCCAATCGGAATTGGAACTCAGTTCTCCTAGAGCTAAACGCAAGCCGTTATCCATTAAAACAACCACCCACCCGTCTAGACGTCATTCCCAAGCGGTCACCGTTCTAGGCACTGACCAAGCCCGGCGTTGCTTAACTTCGGCAATCGTACGGGAAACGGTTTTTCAAGGTGAAATGGCCGTAAGCACCTGCACACGCAAACTAACAACACCTGTTATGCACCCATCTAAGTACTGACTTGTTTCGATGTTGCTTTACTTCAGCGATTGTACGGGAAACGGTTTTTCAAGGTTAAATGTCCGTAAACCATAGCACCTGCTTACACAAACTTACAACGTCTGTTATTCCCAAGGTGTCACCGTTCTAGGTACTGACCAAGAGCAGCGTTGCTTAACTTCGGAGATCGTACGGGAAGCGGTTTTTCAAGTGAAATGGCTGTAAGCCATACCACCTGCACACCCAAATTTACAGCACTTGTTATTCCCAAGGGGTTACCCATCTAGGTACTGACCAGTTTCGATGTTGCTTAACTTCGGCTATCATACGGGAACCAATGTTTCAACGTGATATGGCCATACGTCTATTAAGAATCAAGAATGTATTGACACAGCGTTTTTATATGAAGAAAAACAATACTATGTTATAAGAAAAATTATTTGAAACGTTTCACCGTATTTTGCTGCTTATAAAATATCTCCCAAACCCACTCCGCGTTCCATGTACCCATGGTCGATGACGGGTGTTAATTTTATTTTTAATTTTTACATTCTGAATAGGTACCATAAAATTGGTACTTCTCGGTCTGTGATGAATTTGCCATGATTAATCAGGTTTTTATTCTGAAATATGCTATTCAATGGGTAAAATTTTAGACATTAGGGAGTGCTATGAGGTACAAGGAAAAAACATTTTTCCCTATTTCTTCCTTTAAACTTTTTGGGGTCGTCTAATACACAGAAGCGTCTTATAAGCAACGAAATTCGGTAGACTTGAGCAACGGTTCGAACTGTCTCTTTTTGAGTCGTTGAGTAGCATAATTGTTCTGTGTTGGTCATTAAGACATAGAGCACTTTCATTGTCTGTTTAGGTAGCTGCCTGTCTTTTGTTTTTTTTTTTTTTAATAGTTTATGTTTCGTTTCTCTTCTTTATCGATCTTCCTCTTAGCTTTTTGATTGATTGGTTTTGATCATAATTTTTTTAAATTTTCTTTGGTCACTTTGGCGGGCTTTGTGTTGGTTTTTACAAATGCATTGTTTTTTTTTTGTGTGTGCGCCCACAAACACGTGTGTGTTGGTCAGTGAAGTGGAGATATTTGGCGGCGCCATGGGCCAGTGCATGTGTGACAATCTAATAATTTAAATTTAATGGTTCATCCTGTAATGAATTCGTTACGATTTGTGGAAATTCCACGTTTCCATAAGTTTATCACTCAGTGGGATAACGCAGCCTAACTTTTCTTCTAATCATTAAATTCTAAATAGTTACTATAAATTTGGTATTTTTTCTTCGTCTTTGATGAATTTGCTATGATTAATCAGGTTTCCATGCTGAAATATACTATTCAGGCGATAAAATTGAGGATAACGGGGAGGGCTATAAACTAGAAAGAAAAAAAATATTTTTTCCCTGATTTCTACCTTCAAAACTGCATCTTCCTAATGCATCAGAATCTCTTTTATAAGAATACGGTAACAATTTCTTAGATGTCAAAACCAGAGAAAGCTCCACTATCGATTTCAAGTGAGAAAATCAATAACCGTAGCCCCACACAAGGTTGTGCTTGTAAATCAGCACACTCTGCTTGTGTGTTTGTCAAAGTAAAATGTACCACAAATCAGGACATAGTACCAACAACAAAAAGATGCCCCAAATTTATAGACACAGAACAAACTACTGTATTTTGTTGTTCATAAGACTGATATAAAATAACCTATAAATTGAAGGTCGATGTCAGGAGTTATAAGTTTAGGGTGTGTTATCAGCGTCAGCTCCTGTGTTACCCCTGATTCTAAGACCTTGAAAGTAAAACAAGTCCAGTGTTTCAAGATTTAAATTATTACTTTGAGAGAAGCTATTTATGTAGTTGGGATACTGGGATATTGACAGGAAATTAAATTCCTGCCACAGTAACACCTGCTTAAGAAAAACCTTCCTCATTTTTTAAACTTCTCGTCATAAAGTAACATCATTTATGGTAGGCAATTTGAGATTAATACTATTGTATACTACGTTTTTGTTTGCACATGCCGGGGATTTTAGTTTAAGTAGTCATGCTTTTGATACTTAACGGTGTCAAATATTGCTGAGCAAAAACAGTATTCAAATTTACATGCATTTAATTTAAAATTTGTGCTCCGTCCTAGTTTGGGATTAATTCATCAAGATTAGTGAGGATTACAAGCTGAAATAAGATAACGCATTCTAACACCATAAATTTGGTATTTTTTCTTCGTCTGTGATGAGTTTGCAATGATTAGTCAGCTTTTCAGGCTGAAACATGCGGTTCAGTGGGTAAAATTTGGGATAGTGGGGAGGGCTATGAAATGCAAGGAAAAAAACGTTCAGATATCTTCCTTCAAAATTGGTGGTGTCTAATATATCGGGGCGGTCTTATAAGCAGCGAAATAGGGGAGATCAGCTATTATTTTTAGAGGAAGTGTATCTCGGCTCCGACTTCCGGAAGTTGACAGCTGGAGTCAAATGTAAACCTTTAATAGGGAAGTCGATCATTTTTTTTCGATTTTCAAGGTTGAAATTTTCCAGCCAATTTGGACTCAAAACCGGCACTGAAGAATTATCTCTCAAACAAAACAAATTTCATCTAAATCGGATGAAATCTGTAGAAACGCATAAACAGGATCCGATCACACACACACACACACACACACACACACACACACACACATATACATATACATATTTTGAGCATTATAGATATATAGGTTTTTGTTAGCACATGCCGGGTAATATTTATTAAGTAATCATACTTATGGTACTTAACGGTGTCAAATATTGCTGAGCAAAAACAGTATTCAAATTTAGATGCATTTAATTTAAAATTTGTGCTCCGTCCTAGTTTGGGATTAATTCATCAAGATTAGTGAGGATTTCAAGCTGAAATAAGATAACATACTCTAACTTCTCTATGAATCATTACATTCTAAATAGTTACTATAAATTTGATATTTTTTTTCTTCCTCTGTGATGAATTTGCTATGATTAGTGAGGTTTCCATGCTGAAATATGCTATTCAGGGGATAAAATTAGGGATAACGGGGAGGGCTATGAACTAGAAAGAAAAAACATTTTTCTTCTGATTTCTCCCTTCAAAACTGCATCTTCCTAATGCATCAGGGGGATCTTATAAACATCAGAATACAGTAACAATTTCTTAGATGTCAAAACCAGAGAAAGCTCCAATATTGATTCCAAGTGAGAAAATCAATAACCGTAGAGTCATACACAAAGTTATACTTGTAAATCAGCACACTCTGCTTGAGAGTGTGTTTGTCAAAGTAAAAAGTGCCACAGATCAGGACATAGTACCAACAGCACAAAGGTGCCCCAAATTTATAGACACAGAACAAACTACTGTATTTTGTTGTTCATAAAACTGATTGAAGGTCGATGACAGGAGTTATAAGTTTAGGGTATGTTGCCAGCGTCAGCTCCTGAGTTACGGCTGATTCTGAGACCTTGAAAATAAAATAAGTCCAGTGTTTCAAGATTTAAATTATTACTTTGAGAGAATCTATTTATGTAGTTGGGATACTGGGATATTGACAGGAAGTTAAATTCCTGATACAATAACCCTTGCTTAAGAAACATCTTCCCCACTTTCTTATTTCTTAAAGTACTCGTCACAAAGTAGCATCTTTTATGGTAGGCACTTTAATAATAATAATAATATTGTATACTACGTTTTCGTTAGCACATGTCAGGTATTTTTGTTTAAGTAATCATACTTATGGTGTCAAATATTGCCGAGCAAATACAGGATCCAAATTTACATGCATTTAATTTCAAATTTATGCTGCATCCTGGTTTGTGATTAATTCATCAAGATTAGTGAGGATTACAAGCTGTAATAAGATTATGTTTCAATCGTATAATGCACTATAATTTCTTTTCTAATTATTACATTCAAAATAGTTACTATATATTTGGTATTTTTTCTACCTCTGTGATGAATTTGCTATGGTTAATCGGGTTTTCATGTTGAAATATGCTATTCAGAGGATAATATTAAGGATAACAGGGAGACCTATAAAGTATAAAGAGAAAACATTTTTCTCCTGATTTCTCCCTCTAAAACTGAATTTTCCAAATGCAACATGGCGTCTTATAAGCATCAAAATACAGTAACAATTTCTTAGATGTCAAAACCAGAGAAAGCCCCGATATTAAGAGAAGTGACACTAGAAAGAAACAAAGATAGATGTGATATTAAAACTTAAAATCAATGAGAACCTTTGGCAGCAGACAATTTTGTGGTATTTTTGCAAAGCTTAACAGAGAGTTCGTCAAATCAAGACAATAAATATCCCTGGGCTCACACAAGACAAATTCAGGAAGATTGTAATAAAGTCTTTTGCACTGCTGCCACATTACTGTCTTTTATCACCAGAACTTCATAAAACGTGTCCTTAGCATTCTGTTCTTTTCTTAATAGTTGCCAATATAAAATAAACAAAAAGCTGTTGAACGCAAAACAGACAATGGGGGCCATTCTTGATTAGGAATGGCAATTGAAGGTGTTTCATTTTAACCAACAGAAAAAAGGGGTCAAATAAGTCTTCATGACTTGTCAGAAATTTATAGACACAGAACAAACTACCATATTTTATTGCTTATAAGACACATATAAATTGAAGGTCAATGAGACGAGTTAGAAGTTTACATGGATTTAATTTCAAATTTTTACTCCATCCTGATTTGTAATTAATTTATCAAGATTAGTGAAGATTTCAAGCTGTAATAAGATAACGCACGCTAACTTCTCTTCGAATCATTACATTCTAAATAGTTACTATTAATTTGGTATTTAGAGAAACACACCTGCCCCCAATCAGCTTTCTTGCCCTCACGTTTTCAACTGACTTGAAGTAGAACAACTACATTGAATCAATAGCTGTATCTACTGCAAGGATAGTTGGTTCACTGTGTCCTTCCAGAAGGTATTTTTCATTGGAGTCCATGATACAAATACAAATCTACCATTCGTCCTTGCATCGAATACTGTTGCTATATCTGGTTTGGTACACCTGTTGTTAATCTCGAAGTTCTCGATAAGATCCGAAGAAGGACCTGCAATGGAATCGGTCCTGAATTGGTTTCTTGACTTCAGACTCTTTCTTAGACGTGGTGTGGTTTCCCTCTGTCTTTTCTAGAAGTATTTACATGGCAACTGCTCTTCTAATTATTACATCCTAAAGAGTTACTATAAATTTGGTATTTCTCGGTTTGTGATTAGTCGAGTTTTCATACTGACATTTGCTATTCAGGGGGATACAAATGGGGATAATGGGGAGGGCTATAAAGTACAATAATATCCACTGTACCTCATGTGTCCACAG